TGTTCTGCAGCGCACATTCTCTTTGAACTTGATATCAAATTTTTGCCTCCTCTTCGTCTCCGCACGGTTAGTTACCCTCGCGGTCTATCACTGCCAAATCAAAAGTGAGACGATGACACAACCGCCCCCGTACTTGCTTGTTACCACATTCCACCCGGCCACAATAAGAGACCGGCCATTATTCACCTCCGCCGACACCGGCCAAAATTGGAGACCCGGCCTTTAATTGAATACCGGCCTGTATTAGAGGGTTTACGGTAAATGGGATTTTTAATGTTTCTTTTTTGTGGTAAATTTTTGAAAGACATCAGACTAAGAAAGAAACTACTCGGTCAAACTGACCAATCTGTTACCTTTTATATTATAACTATCAGTCAGATATAAATAACATATTTTGACTAAATGTAACAAACAACATTTATGCTGTGGTCATAAGAATAGATTAAATTACGTTGAACCTTCAAAGCAGCAATAAGACAAACCCTAAAAGATTTTCATGAGAAATTGAAAAAGTGTGAAATGAAGAATTGAAAACCATTTTTGCTTCAAATAATGCAAAACAATTTAGAACATCAATTGTTTATCATTAACAGACTGTTCCTGTTTGTTCCAGTTTGTACCCAAACAGCCGAGACAGAAACGTTGCTCTGTCGGTGAGCAGTGAAGCCAATTACTGAATAATGACAACCGTGTAGCCGCAGAAATTTGGCCCATCAGCACCTTAAAGGGTCGTTGTTTTGCCACATCATGCAAGATTAGTTCACAGCAGAGCAGAAACGCTCATTATTACTATTAGACGTGGCCGCTCAAGACTCAACCTCCTAATTGAATCAAGTCTTTCGTAACAAGGCAACAAGAAAAACAGCTTAGTCCATGATAGACACTTAATCATCATCCTCATCATCATCATCATCATCATCATCGCTGTAACTGTTTTAAATAAGTATCTGTCTCATTACATATTTCTTCTGTTTTTGTCACACTGAACATTTTCTAATCACTAGATAAAAATAACTTTAAAATCAAAGATAATCTGAGTAAACACTAAATGCAGTTTTGTAATTATGAATTATTTTGAAATGGTTCCATAAAAGAGTCCAAAACCTCTGCTGACCAAAAACAACACAAATATTATTCCCATATTCACCACAAACATCTTGATGGACTTAAGGACTTCTGGGAAAATATTCCGTGGACAGAATGGAAAAAAAAAGTAGAGTTTTTTTAGGAATGTGTGTTAGCTCTAAAACAACCTCAACAGTCAAACATGGTGGTGGTAGTGTGATGGTCTGGATTGTTCGTTCCTTCAGGAACTGGATGTAATGGTTGTAAATCCAGCATGAAGCAGCAGTGGAAAAAGACTTTACTCTGCAGGTCGGTCTAGCCACGCTCCAATCACAGGCGATGTCGGCTCAGTAACAGGAATCGTTTAAAACGATTTCTGAATCAACTTTGTTTTAGACTCGGACTTGTCTTTGACGCATGAGCAGATAGAGGTTCTTACAGCTATAATGTGCAACTTTTTCACATTTTTAAATCAGTTTCTTGAGCCGGTATGAGCCTAAAATTACCCTTTACAGGGTTAATGAAGTGTCACTCAGACCCCCACCAGCCTCTGTTACCAGAATATCTCACTTGCAACTTCAGAGTGCCAGTCAGGTCCCTGTCGGCTGTAGTAAAATGGAGCTGACATGTCTGGGTCTGCTTCCAGCACGTTTCTTGTATGTTTTAGATCACGAACACAGCTGACTTGTGTTTTTAGTGATGAACCGCTCCTGTTGAAACTAATGAAGGCTGAGGAGACATTTCAGCAGGCCTTAAAGACAAACGCACGAGGAGATGCATTTCACTTTTGGTTTCATTGAGCAGACACTAGGGGGTGCTAAAAACAAGCTGGATGGCAGACTGCCCTGCTGAGTGATTTCTGCAGCGGTGACCACGTTCCATTTTTCGTCCAACAGCATGCAGAGACAGTTTGAAAGACACCTGTTGATTCTGCCCCATGGCTGAGCTCTGGGTTGTTGCCAGACTATATTTTATAGTCTTTATATATATATATATATATATGGATAGATCATCCGAGATCAAGCTAGTCACGGTTTGCACCATGGCTCCATTCCATCAATCAGTGCGAAGCTATAAGGCGCTAAATATTGGTGTTTTCTGCAGAGCCAGAAAACTCCTCAGTCTTCACTCATTTTTACGGTCAGATCTCTAAAACTAACAATTCTAGGTTTATGAAACTCTCACATCACAAGGTAGACCAGTTGTGCTAAATAAGGATACATGTGTTATAAATGTTAAACTCAATGAAGGTGGTGAAATCGTAGCATGAAAATCAAATCTGCCATATTTGAACATGTGCCCTGAACAAGGAAAATAAATAATGAATATTTTTAGGTAAAATCTGTTGTTTTTTAGACATAATCTTAATAATAACAATTATGATGTTGAATATATTTTGTAGTTTTAAAATAAGATTTCTCTGGGAAATGGAGGAGGACCGCTATTGTGTCAGCAAATCTCACCAACAGTGATGATGATGAACAGGAAGAAGATGACCTTGATGCAGAACCTAAAATATAAAATATTATTAAATATTGTACTAATTTATCCCTTTGATGCATGAATTATGAAATCTTCAACCATGATTTTTTAACTTTTTTTTTTCATTTGTCTTTAGGTGTGAATGAAACAAATTTCAAAAAGAATATTTTTTGTAAAATTTTATAATTTACAAATAATTTATTAAGTGTCCACTTCAGTGGGCAGTGGGCATTCTGAGCATGAAATATGTTGGCTTGGCTTACTGAAGTCCGAATGGAGGGGCTCAAATGCAATAAAGTCTTCAACAGCTGTGCTTAATAGCAAAACCAAATAAATAACAATTTTGAGTACCTGTCCACTGTAGTGACCATTATGCACCAAAGGGCTATATTTGATCACAAATGTGACAATTGTTCAATAACTTTTCAAAATATCCCACAATAATCTGCAGTTATAAAAAGATTTTATATTATTTAATAAATGAGATATATTATGTATCGTTGAATGTTCTAAAATTAGCTAGATTATTCTAGTGTCTTATAATTATCTTTCTTATTCAAAAACAATGTTTATTTTATTTGTTCATGTTATTTTATTTTGGGATTTCTTTTACCAGAACAGGGCCAACATTCATGTTTGATCACTTTGTTTTCTCTGACTTTCTGCGTGAAAATAAAAATTTTAGAAAACTGTAACAACAGAAATGCACTTTGATTATTTACCACAATAACACCCTGAAATTTTAAAAATTAAAATCATTACATGAGTGCCCTATAAAGGGTTGACATGTTTGACGGTTTCTACCACAGTCTAATGAATGACACTGATTAATAATAAAACAGCTTAATAAATAATAGAATTTTTATTTGCATTATAATTTTTACTCAACATGATAGTTAGTGATTTGTGTGATGGGTGTTTTTGTGTGTATCTACAAGTTGAGGGTGCCTCACATGTGGGTGTGCAGAGTTAAGCTTTGGGAAAACTGTCAGCAGAAATCTGCATGTGTGGAATTTTAATCCCGTATGGCAGCAGCATGAATTATTCATTCAACAGTTCTTATTTAAAAATATCCATCTTTCACTCCAACACCTTTATAGTCCAATTATCCGAGTCTCAAGGTGGTCTTAATAACTGATGGCCTGACTCGCGCACGATGATGGAGAAATTATTTTTCTCAACAAAAAAAATAATAACTTAATCATGTTTTATTCTTTTTGGCTTGATGATGATGAACAAAAAGCTGTTAGTGTTATAAATTATTCAGCAGGTCATGAAAGTTAAATAAACTTCACTTTGCTGTTGGAGGATTGTGTTTGTGTCAAATAATTGGTATTTATGTTCAAATAAAACAGCAGGTGAGCTATTTAGGTGTTAAGTGGCTCGTGAATCCTTCAGTAGATAAAAACTCTGAAGATCCTTTAAAAGATACTCAAGGCTCAGAGTTTGACAACTTCTCGCTATCTTTTAAATACTAAATAATTTACACCGCTAGGAGAACTCAGAGACATTCAGGACACAGAAAAGTTTTGAGAAAGAGCTGCAGCATTCCACTCTATGCATTACATGTATAAAGAAAATTCCAGAATTATTCCGTGTTTTATGATCATTTTGTCTTTTTAGTTTAGCTCCTTTATGAGTCGCACACCTCTGATTGTTTGCAGGTGAACTTAACATTAGATCACTTTAGCAAATATGACAGGTTCACCCTGAGTTGTACAGCTTATTGTGTCACAGTGTGCTCATTAGGGTCACGCTGGAGAGTGGAGTACAGCAGAGCCGGCGCACGAGTCACATTAGATCCGTAGTTTATTTACAAAGATTCATCCGTGTAGTTTTCAGAGAAAATATAATTTCTATAGCGCCTCTCAAGATAAAAATCACATCTGCTGCAGGACATCGCTGCAAAGGAGAAACATCTCAGAAGTGGAAGGAGAAATCAACAAATTCACCACATTTATGCCTCAAAGTGAGTGCTAAAATAAGCACCTGCACACATAAATGCACGAATCGTCCATTGTTCACTGATGGGAAGAGATTCACCCAAATTCAGAGGGTTTGTTTCCTTTTTTAAGGTTTCTGTGATGAATAATAAATAGTGCCTAAAAGAAATCTCTCTTGCTCGAAAACACAGCAAAGCGATAACCGAAAGAGGCGTGAAATTCATAGAGACACAACGAAAAACAGAGATCAAAGGCATGGTCTGATAAACAATCGGTCACAGCAGAGCGAAGAAAGGCTTCACCGTGCAGAGGAATTTAGTGGAACTAACAAAAATAATTATTTATGTATCCTTCACAGAAGTTCATGCAGAATACATAATGCAGAACATGCACGCTCCCGCTCGATCAGCTGTGCTCGTGCACGCGTTCAGGGCACACGCCCTCCGCTCATGCATGTGCATACACTCGCTTGGGAAGAAGCAGTGAGTGCCAAATTAATTCACTACTCACCTAATTAACTCTTTTCTGCAACACATAATTTCTAGACTGTAGTGGAGATGTTTTACAGAGGAGCAGAGTTGAGACACAAATGCAAAGACAGCGAAACGAGCGGTCCTTCACGTTCCTTCATGACGACATCCTCCTCTCAACGAGGAAGAGGGATTTATTAAGCAGTCCATGAGAAGGTGGTGACGACTAGAGTAGCTGGTGTGGGCCTAAGCCACTAGTCTACGTTAGAGTTTCAGGTCCACGAGTCTGTTTAGGCTAATTAAATCCAAACTATGTGTGGTAACAGTGCTCTCAAAAAGATGTGGCAGCGAGAAGCATCCAACTAAACGGTTAACAGAGGAGGAAAATGGGAGGAGAGTGATGAAATGGGATCAGATCTGTCTATCAGTCTGTCTATCTACAACCTGTTTGATACACCTGACGACCACAGCAAGGCTCAGTCCACAGATCAGCACCCTGCTAATGCCCCCCTGACCGTCTGGCACAGGGATCGGGATGAACGGATCAGGATGAACGCAGCAGGAGACGAGAGGAAAAAAAATGTCAGGATGTGAGCGAAGGTGGGAGGAAAGCATGCAGAAGCAGTGGGATCGATGCTTAAAAATATCTGGGATTTTGTTTGAGGCGCGTGTGGGATGGGAAGGAGCAGAAGCAGCAACAGAACTAATGACTCCTGATGGACTCACAGATGGAAAATTAGCACTAATTAGCCATGAAATGAGGACAATCAGCTCAAAACTCAGAATGCAACAAAATTAATATCTGAAAATAAATAACTGAGGCAGAACATCGATATTTTTAGGGAAGAAAGAAAAATCACAAGACTGACGGGGAATTTATTCACTGATTTACACCCGGAGCTGGACTTTATTTGTATTTGCAACAGGTTGCAAGCAGATCTTTAATGAACCATAAGGAGGACAATGTGGTCACATGACATACAGACAAAAACAATAGATATTTAAAAGACAACAATTAAAAATGTGTTCACCATGATGAGATGGAGGAAGCATGGAGGGGAAGAAACAATGCGAGACCAGAATCGACCCACTGATCACTCTCTTTTAGGCATAGTTTAGTGTGCGAGTGCATGTGTGTGTTAATGTGTGTTTTATGTTTACGTAAAGCACACACAAATACACACAGACAGACAGATAGACAGACACTACACAATAGTTAACCTACCTAGAGTAACAATAAAGAATCCCGCAAGAGTGTGATGCAAAGAAAATGGGTGTGGAGGGACCAAAAGAGAAGGAAAAGGGAAAAATAGAGTCATTCATGAGGAGTTTTTCTAGTTGTCTTTGAAGAAAATTCATCCAAGTTCAAATAACATCAGATTCAAAACAGAAAAAGGTGGAAGATGAGCGATGATGAACTGAAAAGAGGCGATTAGACATGAAACGGAGAAGGAGGTTGACAGGAATGATATGGTTTGGTGAAGGGGGGGGGGGGGGGGCTCAGGAGGGAGAGAAAAGGACAAATATCAAATCAAAACTCCTCTTTTGTCTTTTCTCTCACTCATAAATATAAGAAATTATACACCACATAGATGGAGAAATAGATGAGGAGGCAAATGATGGAGAGAGAGACTATATGAAAAGATGAAGCACCTCCCAGCACCGCGATGAGGAATAGGAAAAATATAAAACGAAAGAAAAAATTGAATACTCCAAAGCCTTCCGTTTTTGCTCTGTTTAGTGAGGCGAGGAGAGGGGGGAGGCTTTCAGTTATATCCCTCTCTCTCTCTCTCTCTCTCTCTCTCTTTCTCTCTCTCTCTCTCTTCAACTGGTCTTCTGTTGTCTTCTGTCCTCCTGAAAGCAGGACGCTGCCTTCCTCTCAGATGAGCTGTACTCTTTTGCAAACACAGCTGTTAGACATGGCACTGCATGGCTGGAGATGCGGAGCCCAAACACGCTTCTGGCGGGCGTAGTGAGCGCGCGTAACACAATTCGAGCTGCTCTCTCCAGCTCTGCTCCCTCCCCTCTGGAGGAGGGAGCAAGAGACACACAGAGGGAGGAGAGGAGAAAGGGAGATGTGGAGGTGGACCCCTCTGTAGGGTAGAGACAAGCTGCTGTAGAGAGAATACTTTCTATAATGCAGCCAGTGGCTCCCTCTGTTGTTTCACTGCTGTCAGAAACACACATAAAAACGAGCAGCTGAGGGGAAAGGATAGGAAAACTCAGAGGAGATAACAAAAGAGAGAAATGGTCACAAATCTGAATTTGAAGTTGCAATTATGTGAAACCTTCAACTTTAACGTCCCACCCACGGGGCAAAACACATTACATTCATGTGATCATGCTGTGTTTCTGTAATAATCCTATTTATTTGAACTATTTGTATATTCTGCACCTTGTCAGTCAGCAGAGTTTGAAATTTTATTTTACTTTCCAGCATTCATGATCATTAACAGAAACAAACAAAATATTAAGCTACCGACATGTTGTTTTGTTAATACAGGTCTGAATACTGCTTTGTACCATGAATATACACTGCCCAGCCAAAACAATGAAGGCACCATTTGGATTTAACTAACTAGGTACTATTCTCCAATTGGAAAATTACTGCATGAGCGATTCTCTTTCAACTGGCAACAAGTTATTTAAACCCAACTGGTGCAATGGGTTGCTTCTGTTTGAGAAGGGTCAGATCATTGGCATGCATCGAGCAGAGAAAACATCTAGGAGACTGCAGAAACTACTAAAATTGGGTTTAGAATTGTGGAAGCCAATCAGTGCTCCCGTATATAAGAAGAGGAAATTACCTGCTGTATGTGTTTGGCCGGAAAGGGTAATTGGTTTTGACCGCTTTGTTTCACTTTTGTTGCGCCTTTGTTATGTGCTGTCAAAGCATGCCATTTATTCAACATTCACATGGGAAGAAATGAATGGAGAAATTAAACAGATATGCATCTCCTAAAAGCAATGGACAGTGCTTATTCCATCCAAAGCAACTTAGCACGTCAGCCATTATTCTGGTCACAAACACACCAGTGGCTTAAAGCATTGGCTTAGCCTCTACAATCAAGTCAAAACCAATTCACCTGCTGTGCATGAGAGGAGCGTCGGCAGGGAAGTGATCGCTCAGGAAAGCAGAAGCGTGTGATCAGTGTGGGGGATCCACATGGAGCGGTGCCTGCGCAAAGGTCCACAGGAGAGAATCGCTGCCTAAAGGCTTGCCGGTGAGGTCGCTGCACCCCAGAGGCTTGCTGCACCGGAGAGGCTCGCTGCGCCCGGGAGGGTCGCTGCGTTGGAGAGACTTACTGCGCTAGAGGGGATCGCTCCGCCCGGAGAGGCTGCTGTGCCCATAGAGGATCGCTGCGCTGGATAGGCTGCTGCGTCCGGAGAGGATCGCTGCACTGGAGAGGCCGGCTGCGCTGGAGAGGATCGCTGCTGCATCTGGAGAGGATTGCTGCGCTGGAGAGGCCTGCTGATCTTGAGAGACCTACTGTGCTGGAGAGGATTGCTCCGCCCGAAGAGGATCGCTGCGCCCGGAGAGGCTAGCTGTACTGGTGAAGTTTGGTGCGTAAAGGCTCGCCAAAGAGGTTCATTGCATTAAGACTTGTTGGAGGGAACTCTGAAGAGCTGCAGCAGTTGGATTCTGAAGAGCAGTCAATGGTGTGGTTTGTGTTGCGCTACACCCAGTAAAGCGGCCAAATATGCACTGGTTGCCGTTTGAAGTAAATCGCACAGAGACATGATTAACTCAGAACTGAAGACTTTCTTCTTTTCTCTGTTTTGGCAGGTTTTGGGCGTACTGTTGACTATGGAAAGTTGTGTTGCGCACACGGACAGTGACACAAAAATGAACAAACATGAACATGAGACTGCCTCAAGTCAGACTGAAACTCAAATGGGTATAAGAGTTGTTAAACTTTCTGTAAAAGCACTTGCTGCAAGGCTTGAAAAGTTACAAAATTTTAGGAAGTCTAAATTAAACAAGGCTGGTGATTTAAGAGAAAGGGTTACACTAACCCTAACCCTCAGAACAAAAGAAGAAAAAGAAGAAGAAAATATAATTTCTATAGCGCCTCTCAAGATAAAAATCACGAGGCGCTTCACAAAAACAAAAATGTAAAAATATAAAAAAGAAAATGGAAAAAAATATATTTAAAGCCTCCCACCCCCTAGCCGGCCAAGCCCGGAACCCAGCGACCCGGGACCCTGGAGCGGCCACCCATGCCGGGGACCCGGCAGAGCCCAGGGACCCAGATGCCACCAGGCAACTACCGGGATTGATCAGGCAGACGCCAAAAATCTTAAACCCCCTGACCTGGGAGCCACGAACACTCAGGCAGACCAAGGCACCACACTCCACACCAGGTGTGGCAGGGAGAGGGGAGACGAAGATGTATAGCATCAAAAGAAGTCCCACGAGAGGGGAGGAGTCAAAGGCCCCACCTGACATATACAGTAATACACAAACACAGTCACACACTCCCTCCCTCATGCTCACACATACACATACAACCTAAGACTTACAAAAATGCACGCCGGACACCCACTCAAGCTCCCCATACACACCCTATTCACTCTGGTCCCAGTACTGCTGCACATGGGGTACAACCGTTACCGGTTCCCAGAGTTCAACCCTTTCTGCTGGGGTGCTGATGAGCAGGCTCCCCTGCCCAACGCTGAGCAAAGCAACCCCAGACCCCAACCAGACGGCCAGATCCCCCTCCTAGCCTCCAGCCCCGGGAAGCCAAGCAACAACAGAGGTGTGCTAAGACCCCTAGTCTCCCTCCGCCTGCTCCAATAAAGTATTAGTGCGTGTTGATGAGGTGTATTCCATGGCTGTGGTGAGCGAGCAGTGCGGGCATCGTCTGGCCTATGCCAGCTGATGCCACCACACCACCCCACTTGCACCCACTTCCCTCTGTGTCTAAGTGCAGTTTAAAATTAGAAGTGGGCACCGGCACTCGGAATGAGGCTGAAGAATCCCCTTGCCAACTGCCGTTGAATGTGCTCACTCCCAAGGCCCTAAGTGTGTGTTTGCGTGGAATGTCGTTGGTGGAAGTGTTTAAGGTGCAAATAAAATTGGGGGGCAGGTTGCCACGGGAATGTGGAAATGGGGTCCATACCCGCACCCCCTGACCTGTCCAACCCCCCATGGTCCTATGTGCATGTTTGTGTGATGATGTGAGGGAGCAGGAGGAAAAAACATGTGGGAATTGGGAGGAATGGCTGGTTGGCGTAAGCCCTCCAGGGAGTCAGATCACCCACTGGCCCCAATAGGCACCTCCATTGCCAAAATGCCACCCAGGGCATGGAGACACCAGCCCATCTTGCCAGGGCCCAAAGCAGCAGCATTGCAGAGCCTTACAGAGTCCGAAGGCACAAACCCAGCCCCACCCCAGCAGAATATCTACTCCCATCCCTGCATTTGCACAACTTCCAGAATATATGAGACATAGGACATCCAGGTGAGGTTCGGTCCTCCCCTTCCTGGACATCCCCCTCCCCTGTGATGGGACAGCAGAGGAGCAAAGGACTACCATAGGCCTCTGAGCCTGGGCCAGGCACTGCCCCATGTTCCCGTCTTCTTCCCGGCAGCATACATGTCAGGATCCAAGCCCCAAGGCCACGCCCAGATCACCACACGGGGCCGGCCATCCCCACACCCCGAGCCCCCAGGCCTCCAGCCAGACCTGCTCAGGAGCAATGCAGCTGTCAGGCAGCGACCCATGGCCACCGTTAAGACCGCCAAGGGGCCCCACTCACAAACGCCAGTAGTCCACCCCCCGAGGCAAACCAAGCACCTCCAGAGGGGAGCAACGGCCCCCCAGTCCCAGAGACCCCCAGTGAACCCACCTCCAGGGAACATCCGGATACTCCAAACTCAGACCCCCCCACCACCACCACCACCACCACCACCACCACCACCAACATCATCCCGCAGGACAATATCAACGGTCCCCCATCATCGCTATGTGATGGAACCGATCAAAGGAGCCCAGAGAGATTGATCTGAAGTGCAAGCAGAGGCTATATCAAGTGCAATATGATCTATCAAAAGATTTCTATACTGGTTAATGCAGAGAGTTTCTCTATTTTTCCAATTCAAGAGGATAGTTTTCTTAGCGATGCATATGGCAGTCAGAACCACATGAACTAAAGATGTTTCAGTCGGGACATCGTCCAGGTTTCCCAGTAAACAAAGAGAGGGGGAAGTTGGGATATGACATTTCAGACATTTTGACAGATCCTCACATACTCTACCCCAAAATTCCTGGACAGGTGGGCAGGACCACAGTGCATGAATCTAATTGTCAGGAATGTTGTTTGTGCAGTGTGTACAGGTGTCAGATGACACAAACCCCATCTTGAACATCCGATGACCTGTATAGTGTACTCTGTGTAGAATTTTGTACTGAATTAATTGTAAATTGGGGTGTCTGATCATTTTAAAAGTTTTTAAACAAGTTTGGGACCAGAAGTTCTGGTCAAAGCTAACTGGTAGATCCACCTCCCATTTTTCAACAGGGATTGCAATTTTATCGTCTATTTTGGACAGTGTCTTATATACTTTAGACAGTAGTTTGAGGGGTTTGAGATTATAAAAGTCAAATACCCTTGGTGGTGTTTGTAATTCTATTTTATTGAGCTTAAATTTTTGTTTGACTACAGATTTAATTTGGTGATATTCTAAAAAGCTATTCTTATCCATTCCAAATTGGGAGACTATTTCATTAAATGGGATGAAGTCCAATCCTTCATACATGTGTTCGAGGTATAGGATTCCTTTTTTTTCCAGTCCGGAAGGTTCATCATTTTGTTATTTTGCAAAATGTCAGGATTATTCCAGATAGGTGTGCGTCTGCATGGTACTAGTGAAGACTCTGTCATTTTAAGATACTCCCACCATGCTATCCGAGAGGTGCTGATATTAATACTTTTGAAGCTTTCATGTTTTCTTATGCTTGAGCTAATAAATGGTAAGTCTGAAAGCTCTATCGTATTGCAAAGTGTCTGTTCTATATCTAACCAGGACTCATCTAGTGGGTTATCTTGCAATCATCTTGGTATATATTGCAGCCTGTTGGCTAAGAAATAATAATAAAAGTTGGGTAAATCCAGTCCTCCTCTGTCTTTGGTCTTCTGAAGCATTTTTAAGCTAATTCGTGGAGGTTTATCCTGCCAAAGGAATTTGGTAATTGAGGAGTCCAGAGACTTAAACCAGTCAGCTGGTGTTTGTTTGGGATCATCGAGAATAAGTAATTTATTCTGGGTAAGACCATCATTTTAATTGTAGCAACTCTCCCCATGAGTGATATTGGTAAGGATTTCCATCTTGCAAGATCATCTTCCACTTTCCTTAAAAGTGGGATGTAGTTTAGTTTGGTTAGATCTGCTAACTTGGGAGAGACATTAATTCCCAGGTATGTGATATTCCCTGACTCCAATTGTGTATTAAGCAAATTGACAAATGAGAAATTAATTGGTAGAACTGTGGATTTTAACCAGTTTATAGAGTAATCTGAAACTCTTGAAAAAGAGTTTATCAGTTCTATTGCTTGGGAGAGAGAGGATTGAGAATTCTGGAGAAAGAGTAAAACATTATCTGCATAAAGACTGATCTTATGTTCTATTTTCCTACACTTTATCCCTTTAATATATGTTGTTTGCCTAATTGCTGCTGCTAGTGGTTCGATAAAGATAGCAAATAGTAAGGGGGAGAGCGGGCATCCCTGCCTGGTCCCCTTCTGAAGACAGAAGCTAGCTGATATTTGGTCATTTGTCCTGACACGTGCTGTTGGTGAACTGTATATTGTTTGTAGCCAGTTTATGAAGAAGTTCCCAAAACTAAATGTATGTAAAGTTGCAAATAAGAACTTCCAGTTAACTCTATCAAAAGCCTTTTCTGCATCTAGAGATAATATACTAGTTTCTATGTTTCTACTGAAAGAGAAATCTATCAAATTAAGTAATCTACGCGAGTTTGTGGATGACTGTCTACCCTTAATGAAACCAGTTTGATCAGGGTGTATTATGAAGGGGGTTACCTTCTCTAATCTTTTTACCAGGGCTTTACAAATTATTTTGAGATCAACATTAATAAGAGAAATTGTGTGATAGCTGGTAGGAAATGAAGGGTCTTTGCCTGGTTTTAACAAGAGACTAATATTGACTGAATTCATGTTTGGCTGTAATCTGCTGCTCTCTTCGATTTCCCTCAACATTCTGAAAAATGTTGGAGCCAGAATGATCCAGAATTATTTGTAGAACTCTACTGGGAACCCGTCTGGACCTGAAGCTTTCCTATTAGTGATGGATTTAAGGGCTTCCTGGAGCTCCGCTGATGTTAGTGGTGAGTCCAGGACTGTAGCTTGGCTGTCTGATAATTTAGGAAGTGTTATCCTGTCAAGGAACTCATTGATCTCGTAATCTGATGGGTTTATCTGTGGTGAGTACAAAGTTTGGTAAAAGTCTCTGAAGGTGTTGTTTATTCTTTCAGGGTCATTAACTATATTCCCGGTTGAGTCTTTAACAGCAGATATGGTAGATTTCTCTTTATTTATTTTTAATTGGCTAGCTAAGAATTTACCTGATTTATTACTATGTTCGAAGTTTTCTATTCGTAGTCTTTGTGCTAAAAATTGTGTCTTTTTGTCAATAATTCCAAGAAGTTCTAATTTAGCTTTACGTAATTTGCTCAGTAACTCTTCTTCTGTGGATGCCTCTAAAGACTTAATGATTTCCTCTAACTCCTGAATACGTTTGTTTTCTGTTTTTTCTTATGTGATGAGAAAGAGATTATTTTACCTCTCATCACTGCCTTTCCTGCCTCCCAGAGAATAGATGCTGATGTTCCAGGCAGGTCATTATGTTCTAAATATAAAGCCCACTCCTTTTTAAAAAAATCAATAAAACCTTCGTCTTTAAGCAGTGATGTATTAAACCTCCAGTTTTTTCTTGGTGGGATTGTCTTCTTGTTTACCAGAGTTACAGAAACTGGAGCATGGTCGCTGACAGCTATGGGGTGTATCTTGGTGTCTGAAATGTCAGCCAACAATGAGCTGCTGACTAGAAAATAATCCAAACGTGAATGAGAGTGATGGACGTGTGA